GGCCGATGATCAAGTCCAACCTTCTATCGACAGCACACAGGAGTAAAACTACTCTGGAAATCAGCGTCACCCCTACACGGATGCGCTCCAAGAAGCAAGACTGGAGAGTATCCAAACACAAGCAACCAGCTAGCAACGACTCTCCAGTCTAAAAGAAACACAGCACAAAACGAGACAAAACACACGGAACATCGCATCGCTTCGCGATCCCGATTCGATCTCCATCGCCCTTGTCACCTTCCGCCTCCAACGCCTACAATGACATCACGTCCACCAGGTTGCGGAGAGAATCTTCACGCTGGACTGTCACAATCCACCATAAACTGAAGACTATAGGAAGTGAGACCGGATGCAACATTTCCGGCCTCTTCAGATGAGGTTCTTATAATTCTGAACCTCTAAACTTTACTTTTTTTTTCAAAATTTTTTTTCTTTCTCTATTTTTTTTTTCAAGAAAGAAATAACAAATATAGAAGACTGATATATAATCAACTTTGTCTAAAGTAGTTATGTGTACTGAAGCCTTCAAAGGTTCTGACAGTTCAGATCTCAGATTAACTCTAAAATAAAACACCTAAATGATTCACTATCCTTTGTGCAACTCAACTAGAAACATACTCCTTCACCATTTATACTATACTAATAGCATGGTGGGTAGTGACAGAGGTAATTTAACTCCACTACCACTATACTCCAACTGAACTCACTTAGTTGTGAATATTTATCCTTCCTGTAAACTATCTTCACACTGTCAAATTGAGACAATGCATAGTTTAGAAAGATTCCTACTGCAAACTTCGACTATAAAACTAACATGATAAAGTTGAACGTACTCACTTACTGAAGTTATTCACTATCTAAGAATAACTAGACATGTTAGAGAACCACAAGTCTACATCTGAATCAAACAAATACGTAAACTTGCAAAAGCTTCATGTCTACCTCCACCAATGTACAGTGAAGGTACACTTTCACCACACTACTTTCTGAAATTCAAGTCCACTATGATACTGCGCTGATTATACTCCATGTGGCTGCCAACTAGCTTTGAAGACAAAGTGCACCAGGTCCTTGTTTGCTCTGGGCAACTGCATGCAGCGCAGGTGACTCGGGTGTGGATATGATATATATCACCCGATGAGTTTTGGCCCTGTATTTTCCAACGGAGATCACCCCTAAAGCTCAGAAGCATGGAATTACAGTCCCATGCAACGGTACTAATGCTTCTGAAGCTAAACTTATCACATTTGGAACTATCAAGAAATGGAAAAGTTGGAATATGAGAAACTTCTTTTCGCTGAACTGTTCTCACATTTCGCTTTTGCTTTTTTAGTAGAAATGCTTTTGGATTACCTGATTTTCTAATTCACCCCCTGCATCTAAACCAAGGCCTCTTCATCCTTCCTCTCTCGATCTTGAAGTTTTACCATCTTCAGTTAAAAATCACATGCAGTTAAAAATCCTGAATGACGTGATTTCAGCCACATCAGTCAGGTGGGCTTTTGATCATTCATGAACCCTTACTCGTATTACTGCACTTCCCGTCTGTTTTTTTTTGTACTTCTACACCGAGACTTTCACGTCCGACTTCCCGTCTGTTTTATATTTTATTTTTTCTGTACTTCTACATCAAAACTTTCACGGCCAACTAAACAAGTCACTTGTAGTGGATCTTTCCAGTCGATTTCATGAGCACTAAGGGCTCTTCCTGGGCTTCTACAGAGATACTTATCCTCTATTCTAATTGATACTCGATACAGAGAATATAAGATGTAATCTAGAAACCGACTCAGGGCAAAGATCAAATTCTATCCGTGTTTCCGTCTAGACCTAATCTTCAATCGATCCAGGTCTTAGAATGTCCAAATGCGATGATAATCGATCAGAAAAACTTCACGGAAGGACACAATAAAATTTGAGCGGATAAATTTCTCGTCATCACTGTGTCTTGAGAACAGAATATGAGCGTGCTTTGAACCTTCATCAGAAAAAGCTTCTGACAAATTGCACATCGCGAGGTGTGAAGATCTCTTCTCTCAAGAGCATCCAGGAACGCAACCACCTCATAAATTTATACCATACCTTCGAGATTCTACTCCAGCTTCATACGCAGCAGCGGCAGCTAGGTTTCGACAAAATAGCCTTCATTACTACTGTGCTCAAACTCTCACAAGGGTTGCTATCGACTCACCAGCATTGCAGTACTATATGTGCAACTTATCAGCACAAATCGCCAAGGCTGCCACAGAATTATTGCACGACGAGAATCCGACACTCCATTCGTCGAGCGAAAAAAGTCCTTCATGAATCTCGTGACCTTAAAGACCTCTGAAATACATGCCCGAGCTGCAGAAGTTCCCGAATTGCAAGCCTGATTTTGGCCCCAACCACGCAGACTCAACTCATAAAATATAGCAGCAGTTGGTGAATTTCGCTGCCACTGCTATTCTGAATTCCTACACTCGCGTTCAGTACAAGTACAACCACCCCAAGGTGATTGACTCGTTCAACGCTGCTCTGGTGACTCCCGAGGCTGCGAAGAAGCAGTCCAATGTGAGCGTTTTCTCTGCTGGAATCGGCGGATCCTGCAATTGATAACCCTATGTGTGCGAAGAAGTGACGCTTTGGTACTTGTCGGATCTTAATCACCTTGAGTGTTCCTGTCAATCCACGAAATCTCCAAAACTCATACTTTTGAGATTTCCATCTTCGGACAATCAAAGTGTGCTGATTGCCAATTCTCAAAGGATTCAATCTGTCCACCACACCGCACAGCAGTCCAGCTTCCTCCCGCGAACCGAACGAACTAAACCAATCAAGGGTCGGACTGATTCTTCCCTCTCCCCCGTGGAAGATTACCGACCGAAATCCACCACTTTTCTCAGTATTCCTGTCACTGACGGCCCAGATCGTCACCCATGATCCACACTCCCAGTCGATCAATATCTTCAAATCTCTAGTCGAGAAAAAACGTCTTCAGTTCTTCGAGTGAAAAGTACGAGAGATTCCCCACTGGAATTCCCGTCGGTCGATTACCCTACTGGCAACAAACCGTCACCGTCACAAACATGAGTCAAGCCCAACCCTCTCCACACTCGGAGAATCCAGGTCGACGCAAAGGGGAAAGTCGCTCTACGCTCCCAACGCTTCCAGCCTCGAGTCGAGTCGAGTCGAGTTCTTCGAGTCGTCCCCGATTGTATACCCCTCGTAACCCGAACCCTATCTCCACGTCTAAATATAGTAAGTGCCCAGAATGCATGAGCCGACTCAAAACTACATGACAGATGGTTGGTGATGTGGATATCGATTATACTAAAATAGCAGAATACATAGTTCCAACCTATGTTATCTTGAATGCTGTCGTTTGCTCAACAACCACTGCAATCTGGAATTAGTGTTGGGACTAGTGTTTGCATCCACAATGATCTCAAGGTATTAAAAAATCTTTGTGACAATTTGTCGTCGGTGGTATCCCATCAAGTAAAACGAAAGTTGATGGATTCCATCAAACAATTTGTTTTATGATGAGCTTTCATCAAGTGATATACTCAATAATGGATTAATATTATACGTTCTTTGAGGATGGAGATGAACAAAATTTGGTTTTAAAAGTGTGTATTTACAAATCTTTGTGGGAATGGATAACCTCATATAACAAATGGTCAACAAAATCTTTACTCTTTGAATTGCTTACAAAATTTTATTGTGTTTTAGAGCTATATTTGAAAGAATTATTGTTACATACTTTTTCTAAAATTCTTGTGAGGTTTACTATCATGACATTAGTGAATGTCATGTTTTAAAAATCTATGTAGGAGTTGTTTAGAATTATTTTAGTTTAAATTTATAATTGTTTTTCAATATAATTTATATTTTTTTATCAATCAAACAATTACTATGTTGAAAAAATATATACTTATGATTGTTATGATTCTATGCATGTTTGTTTTATTTAGTCATGAATGATTACTTGACATTTATGACACAAGTTTTCAAATAGATGAATATGCTAGATTTAATCCAATGTATACACATCTAATGTGAAGTATTTTTACTCCACATAAATACACATAAGTCATGAGCATATATTTCAACACAACTTTATACAACATAACATATTCTGACTTATATCATTAAACGGATTATTCATGCTTTCATATGACTCGTCAAACTAAATTTAAAAGTGACATGTGATGCAACAAGGATAAAACTCGATGATTTTTTCAATAAAAGAGATATTTGATAAGATATTTGAAGGTATAAAATTGAACCTGGAAGTAAAAGTTGCAAATTGCTACCAAGTTTTTATAGAAATAGTTCATTGCTCAATTGTATGTATTATATTTCAGCTTTACAAGTTATCAACTCAAATTGATGTATTGTAAATTTATTATAAATCACAAGATTTCCAAATGATCAAACTATAGAATAAAAATGATTTCGTATTTTACCGATGTGAATTTATTATTCAGATTAAAAAAACAAAAACGTTTGATTTTGTGAAGTACTTTCATCCAGTTATAATCTCAAAGTCTAAATGGTGAGGATGGGAATATATGTGAAATTATTTTGTGGTACATTTATAAGAAACGAAGTCATTATTAAGTATATGATATGAAGTTATTCAATATGGATGACAGCATATTGAATGAAAAAACATTGGACATAATTTGAACAAAAATCATGAACTACAATTACACGTGGCATTATATTTCACAAACGTTGTTCATAGTATCAGATGTCATATTTTTTATGCTAAAATCCGGACAACACCTATTCACGTTTATGAAACTCTCGACTCAAAAAATGGGACGCGAAAAAGTAATGGGAAAGCACAGATGAAAATAGGGAGCTCATGTGCATAAATGTAAGTGGAGATAAGACTGTGACTACGAATGCGGACCACAGTCAATTTGGACTGCGAGAAAGCACCGCGTTTAGTCAACGGAGCACGGCGCATGCAACCATGGTCGCAGTCGAGTTCGTCGGACAGTAGGAGGCGCTGTCAGGACGAGAAGTTCGAGCGTTCGAGCGTTCGAGTTCGAATGCGAGCATCCATCGGACGCGCAGAAAGATATTCTGTGATCTGGAGAACGACATCGGAAGGCCGCCGAAGCAAGAAAATTTGCGTTTTGTGTTTGAATCGTTGAATTTGCACTATGGCTGGGAAGCCTGGTCAGGCGATCGAGGAGGAAGATGCCCGCGAGTTGAAGCTCGGAGAAGGTGTGCGAGCTCTTTTTTTTTGGGTTGTTGCTGGAATGAATTGCTTCTTTCCTTCCCTAAAATCTCGTGGAGTGTTCGTTGTTTTTGTTTTGTTTTTCTGCATGGTGTCGTATTGTTGGTTGAAATTTCCGTTTTCAAATCCCCAAGTTTGAAAATTGTTCACAAAATTCAGGTCTTGCTTTTGATCTTACAAGATTCTAGCTTGCTTTCTGATTTAGATTAGCTAGGTTTTGGGAAATCAAGTTGCTCATGGGATTTCGTTGTATAGATTTCGTGAAGGCGAAGTGCCTCATGAACGCTGAGGTTGCGCTGATCTTGCAGCGAAAGTACGAGCAGCTACAGACATTTTCTGAAGATGCCCCCAACCAAATTTCGCAGTAAGCACCTTGTTTTTTTGTTTTTTTGTTTAATTTCTCTTCTTCTGGAAGAGCTTCCCTCAACACTCGAACTTCTTGATAATGTTTTGTAGTCCAAACCTGGGAGATTAGATGGAACTTTTTTGTAGTCCTAGTCTAGGCGTCATCCTGCCACTAAAAGTTTCGTCTTTGGCGTTGTTCTGGAAGTGAGAGATCAGACTACTGTGCAGATATTGCTCGCTGATAAATGCTTGACAGTCGACCGCTTGGGATCGAGCTTACAAACGCACATAGTTTTTTCGTAATTTCACCAAAATTTGCACAATCTGATATAAGAGTAGATTTTGGTCGCATAGCCCTTTAACATAAATCGGGAAAGTTTCGATATGCAGTGCATTTTCTCCTAGTCTACTGACATCTCCTAGTGATACTGACCACCAATCAATTTGGTGGTCTAGTCTATCGTTATTGCACGACTAAATGTTGATATGATCAAACTGGAATTGAAGTAAGCTGTTTTGTATAAAGTGGCTACTATGAAAGTGAGGTAACCTTTTCCGTGCATTTACAGAGGGTTATGCTGTGATTTTGAAGGGTGTTCGAGAAGTCATTGCAGTATGTGAAGCGCTTCAGCCATTATCAAAATCCTAACGCTGTAAAGCAAGTTCGAGAGTATCCTTTTTTGACTATTCTAGGTCAATGAGCAGCAGGAGTTCAGTTCACAGTGCCAGCTTTTTGTTTGTGCACAAGTTCATCGTTCAGATCTTCCGTGATCAGTTTGTAGTCTTCACTCATTATATTGCACTAGGTTTGTTCTACCAAGCTGGTTACAAAGAAGATGTCAGCAATGGCATCTGTGCATCAGTGTGTAATAGTGATGATTATCGAAAGAGCAAGGATATGCAAGAAGTGAACTAACAGAACGCAAAGTTTTATCACCAACACCAGAAATTTATGGGAAAAAAATCACACCAATAATCTAAGTTTAGCAGAGGAGAATGGTCACATTACACTCCTGTATCTTCTTGCTTTTCTGGGATTCTTTTCAGTCACGAAGTATTGTAGCTGAGCATTTTACCCAAGAGCAGAGGTTTGGAGTAAATATAGTATCTGACATCCTCTGAAAACTCTACCAGTATCAATTATGAATGCAACCTATGGACACTCTGAGTTCCACCTTGACCTCTCTGCTCAGTGTTCTCAGCAGGAATCAGCTTGCAGAATTTGAGGTACTCTTCACACTTCACACACTTCCTTCATCCATAACTCATGATCACAAAATGGGCACGAGGGGAACTTTTAAGCCGTGACCTGAAATACCAGGTTATGGATTTTTATTTTAGAGGAGTGAGAAGTTACTCTTAGCAAGCTTTTCGTTTTGCTCTCAACTATGTTAAAATGCTTCTGACTGAACTGCATGCAATTTTTTTCACTTAGATTGATTTGTGATGAAAGTTATCTTAAACTCTCAGCCATCAGAGACTAGAATCCAGAGAATTACTTTCGGATGGGATTCAGCTTGACTGACGGACTTCTTGGTGGATCGTATAGGTCTGCGTCATAGGGAATCTGTGCCCCGAGACGGTTGAAGAAGCCAAGGCCTTGGTGCCCTCTATTGCTGTAAGACAGTCATGAAGATTTTGGTCTCTCTACTAGTTATTGTTTCTCGTGATAAACAATGTGTGGGACATTTGTTTGAACTAGGGCTCTGAATTCCGCAAAAATGCTGATTGGTATGTTGTGGTAATTGGTGCCAACCTGATTCAGAAAAAAGGACGCATGGATGATGAAAAAATTGAGCAGATGATCCAGGATTTGGCTACTATCAAGACTTTTGAGTGATCTCGACTAGTGGGCTCGCGATTCCCATTGTCATTTTGTAAGTGAATTTATAGCTTCATACTTTTAATGTCCTTGAGGTTTTCTCTTGGTTGACTCATGGCTTTGTGTAAGCTTTGTGGACATTGCCGAATGTTCTATGTTCTAGTTAAGGAAGTGAAGTTTAGGATGCTAAAGTAACATATATAGAAGTTTGAATTGTCCCGGGATTTTTGTGAACACTGGATTTTCTCCGCTGTGTTACAGGCTTTGTTTCACTCGGATAAAATTCAGACCTGTGTTTTAAGCTACATATGGGTTTGGAAGAATGTCAGAGAACAAGAATACTTTATCTTGGGTGGATTTCATCTTTTACATGAAAGGCCGTAGAAGAACTATAGAGAGTTGGGAGAACTACGCTCGGAAGTAGCAGCTACTTCCTACAGAATTTCTTTTGTGTTGGTCCATATTGAATCGCCATGATTTGCACATTCTCACGCAGTCTTTTGGAGAGATGTGCAGGTTAGTTCCTTCTTCCGGACGTGGGAGTAATCATTTTACTTTTACAATAATGACAGCGATACATGTATCCTAGACAGCAGCAATAGCTAACTTCTGAAGGATTTATTTATGGAGGATCTGTACATAAGTGTTAGTTTATAAACCCGTTCGAGAAAAATCATCTCAAATGATCCCTGATGCCTCAGGATCTGATAATATGATTTCATTTAGGAGCTCTTTTGGTCCGAAGATCCTGAACTCGTGACAAGACAGCCTGGATCAAGGGCATCTGCACCATCTTTTTGGCTTCCAAGGAATGAATTTCCTGTTGTAGTAAGAGAATTTTCGGATTTTGCATCATCTTGATCTTTTCTTTTGAATCAAAATTGTTGACGTCACCTGCAGCCGTGGAAGCAATAAAGTATCAGACATTGTACTTCTTATTGCATACTTTTGCCCCTTGGTTTTTTGAATCAGGTTGTTGATCTGGAGGATTCATGTGTAAACTTGTTTCGTTGGTTGGTCCCTTTCGTACCAGTTGACGTAATTTATGTTAGAAGGTATGAAAAATACCGGATGTTCTCGTCTCAAGTAGAACTGCCAGTTCTGCACGCAGTTTGACTATCTGGACTTTTATGTCCTCGTAGTCCAACAGAATCTGCTCCATCCATTCAACCTCTCTGGCCACCAGACTGAGATATTTAGACGATTCGTTTCCGGAGTTATTTCTTTCATTTCCTCCTTTGGGCACCAGCACAGGTGTCCTTGTTTGATCAACGTCATCATAGAGAAATGCAGGCCGACGTGGTTGAGCCCTTGAACTTGAGACGGCCCTCATGAATGGAGAATCTGGCTGTGCTATTCTTTGCGGGTTCTCGAGGTCACGAAGCCTTCTGCAGATTCTTATCAGACCTGTCTACTGTTAGATGTTGTTTAGAGAGAGATCTCTGTCCATGAGTCTGGCTATAACTGGATATCTGAAGCAACCACATCAACTCGTGAAATGTCAACATTGGACGATGTTAATTGGGTTCCTATGTATCCATTTCGCATGGTGTGCCATCAGTAGTCAGGGTACTCTTTTTCTAGTAGGCAACGTTCACTGTGTTAATTTGATATCGTCTGCCGGAGGGCCTACTGTTTCAGGTTGGATATACGATTTTGTGCATGTAAATGCGTGTTCTACATTTATTTAGATGCTGTTATATCATGGTGGATGAGTAAGATTTGCTCTCAAGATTCTGTTAGTACCTGTACATATTGAGGGATTCTCGTAGTGTGTTGTCTTGTTGTGTCTTTTCGAATTGCTGTTGTTGTTGAGTTTTTTTGAATTCAGGTTGTGGGTCTTTCCACTGCGCTAAGATGTGTAGGGAATGTTTCAGCTGCCTGCGTCTCCTGTGATCGGCAGCAAGGCGGCCCAATTGCCTCAAAAACACATACTCATTCCAGGTGCTTACTGCCCTCTGTAAACACTTGGTTTCCTGAAACTGTGTTGCTTTTGCAAGAAGTGAACGTTTCAGCTTCTGCTCCTGCATGTGAACATGTAAGGCTTTGACTACTGCCGCTGCCTTGAATCCAAGAAAAAACTGAATTGCCCGAGCCTCATTGAATCTCGAAATGTTCATCACTTTCCGAAGAGACTTCCATGCCCTCAAGACATGCATCTTTTTCAACTTACCGAGGCTTTCTCTCAACCTAATCAAGCGAGCCTCTTTCAAGCTTTTCACCTTTATGCTTAGATTCCTGACCTCACGCCAAGCTCGAAACCCACGTAGACATAACTGTCTGCAGGAAAAATTGACTGACTTTAGGAGCTGATTTTTCTTCATAGACCTAAGGGCAGTAGCGAAGTACCATTTGTCAAAACGCTCCTGCAACTTGGCCGTTTTCCACTGGGCCGTCGCATGCTCAAGCTGAGCCGATTTCAGGCGTTTGCTTTGATGGAGGAGCTTACATCCAGTGACAGCCTTCCTCTTCAGACTCTCCTGATAGCTTTTTATCGACAGCCTTTGTAAGGACTCCTTGAAGTATTCCAGCTCCACATTCTCTCGAAGACCTCGGAGCCCTTTAGCTACACTCTGCATCTTGAAGTGCACGACAGCATGCCAGTGATTCCTTCTGGAGATTCTCTGCACGGCCGCTTGCTCTTTCCAGGAAAGTAGAAATCTTTTGACCAATGCTTTTACGAACCAAGACACAGCAAGCTCCTGCAATGTGTGAACCCACGTCACCCTTTGTTTGCAACTCTGAGGGCGCGGTTTCCATATACTGACTGACACACTCTCACTTGTGACTCCATAATGTTAAGTTAGACGAAGGACGGGTCCTGTCGATTATGCTACTAGCCTCCAGGAGAGATGGCACGATTCGTTTTCATTTGCTGTCTTTGATGGGGCAAGTTTTCGAAGCTTGAAGTCCAACTCGAGATTCAGGCGTTTTTCAGGAGTTTCAGTTCTATTGAGTGTGATCATTCAAAAGACTGTACTTTGTGGAAGCCACGACGATCTTGTCATGTAGCCAAAGAGGATGGCCTGATCGCTAAACGCTGCGAGAGATTCTATTGCCTTCTCCAAAGTTTAAGGTCTTGTGGATGAGACGTTACCGTGTGAGATGCTTCAAGACTGTGCTGGGCGAGTTCTCTGGCAAGAGCGCTGCTGAACCGGGCCCTTTCCCATCGATCATAAACTGCTCTCTGCACCAATGCATGTGCTCATTATGTGCATTAGCTCCTGTACCGTCAGTTGAGTCTGGTCTCATCACTTCTAGGATCTTAAAGTGACTCAGTTAGCCCCCTAGATACAGGAATGCTAGATCTTACCAGCATCTTTCTTTCATAGTGCCTCTGTGCAAGAATCAGTTTCTTCTCCCTTGGATCGTTGATCTTTCCCTCTACAACACCACGATGAGATCAAGTTCAGTAGAACTCAGGGTAAGTGCTAATTGGCTGATTCACTTCTGCGCTTGCTGTAGTAATTCATTGCACTGAGGTACGAACAGAACCAGATCATTGAAGCATAATTGATTCTTATCCTCTTGCTTTTTATCGCCATAAGTAGAGTAATCCTCTTAATTTGTAGAAAGGTAGATAGATTCATGTCCTGAGCTTGACAACGAACCCGAGAATCCATAATCTGCCTGACAAGATGCCAAGGAGCGAAGGAGTGCAGGTCATTCATTTGGCCATCATGGGCACTCACTTTTCTGAGACACCAACCAGTTCCAGCGCCAGAACCATTTGGTTAACGTCCGGACGACGAGAACTGGGTTGTCCAGCTCCCAAAGTGTAAGAACTTGCTTCCACGCTCGCAGTGTCGACCTGAGTCGGTGGTCTTTCCAAATCTGATCGGCTCTTTGCTGCAATGCCTTGAAAAAGCGCCTTTGATGCATGAAGTGATACCATTTCAGTAGATGCCTTCTCAACAACTGGAACGTCCAGAACACCTTCACTCTCAGCTGCTGCTCGCGTTTCAATCTTCCCACTCGCGAATTTGCATGAAGTGCAGTCAGTGCCGTCCTTCTTGCACGTCGCTGGACTGAAAACAATACACCCACGAATTCCGATCATGATCCCAGCCCGTCTCGATCTGGTTTCTCGACACATGATGATGTCGAAATTTGTGATTCGAATCCCTCTTCTGTCCAAATTTCATACACTCAGAAATCTGGTGAACCACTACGTTTCTCTTCTGGTCATGGACTCTACATTCACGACGGCGGACTATTGAGATTTGGTGCTTTGAATGCTTCGAGGTGGAGGCTTCTTTGTGTTTGAGATTACTTGTCTCAGTCGTGTGTTGGAACGCATGGCGGATTAGCTGCTGTGTCTGCGCTGCCGTCTGCCATAGGCGAAAGCTGCGTCTTTCGAGTATGAAGCGACGGAGCACACCAGCGCGTTCCAAGATTTGAGACATGATCGTCCTCCTTTCCACGAAAGTTTTCCAACCTGCGATGCAAAACCTGAACCCGTCCAGACAGTGCGTGCTCTTCTCGTCATCAGTTTCGGAACCAAGAGCCCTGTAGTCGAAAGAGGTGTTCGAACTGTTCTCAATTTGTCACTGTTCCTAACTATTGCACGAACCTACCGAAGAGTTGATTTGATTGCATTATGAGGTTTGAAGGCAGAAGCGAGTTCACCTCTTGAGTCTTTCTCCATGCTGCCTGCGGAACCTCAGCGTAATCAATCTCTGGAGCAGAAACGTCAGTTAGCTTGGCTCTGTGGAAGCCGACAAGCCCATGAATGCACAAGACCTACGGCAAGTTGCTCGGCACACGAGGCGCTTAAATCTTGATCTTGATCTTGTTCGGCGAAGGTCGAGATGGACATTCTTTAAATTTTGGGAAATCTGATTCCAGGAGCGGAATGGAGTGGGTCGAGCAACTTTGCAAGAAACTTACATATCGTGCTACATACAGCCACTGATCAGCAACGATTCTCGCTAACCTCTTGCGATGGTGTCGGTGAGCCCTGCAGGTGAACATCACTGTTTCCTGTGAGTCGCGAACGACATCATGGCAATTGGGCAATTGGGCAATTGGGCAGAAAGGACCGCGAAGCCTAATTCGCTCTGGGTGAGTGCACGGAATGGAAGGTTCATCAAGAAATGAGTTTGGCTGGCACTCTCGCGTTGTGGGGGTTTGATCTGCACAGAAGAAGAAGTGAAGAAGTGCAGAATCTTGCCCTTGGGAGTTGCTGGAGCTCTCTCGGCAAGTGAGCTCCTTCACGGGGAGACAGCTAATGGACTTCGCGCATTTGGAGACTTTCTGTAGTTTGATGCCGGCATCGAAGCACTTGGGCCTAGCAAGCCCGCTACGGGAGTTTCCCATCGTTCAGAATTTCATTTTTTCATGCACGCACGCACGCGCATTTGAGGCAGCTTATGCAGGAAAAAGAATGTCTTTCATCTCAATTTGCAACAAAATTCGTCGTTGGAGTCCAATTTCACAGGCTTCACGCGAGTGATTGAAGTTATGAAATCAGAAATCTCCACGCTGCTCAGTGCTTGTATCGTGAGACATCGCGATCGGTCAATAGAAACGTGATTCTTCACTGTCTTTGGACCTTCACAGGAATGGTTCAAAGTCTCTCAAAGAGGAGTCCTATAATTTCGAACGAGGAAACTCACTGCACTCCATTGTGCCTTCCTCGCCATCCAACCGCTCATTTTCCGATCTAGCAAGACCTACCGTGGGCTTCGATGGATCGTGCCCTAGAGATTCAATCTGGCGTTCCTGATAATCAGCAAACCGTTTCTTCCGTTTGATGGACTGCGATGTTGAAATGCTGGAGCGCAATTCAATTCCAGAAGTTGGTCTCTCCCAGAGATCCACGAATGTCGTGGAAATTCTTTCTGGCCATTCGTCTATCGAAACAGCGGTTTGGGCAATGCTGATGTTCAATATGCAGACACTCGATGTGCTCATTGTCAGAAGCGACGGTGATGGAGACGAGTATGAGAGAGAAAGAGAGAGATGGAGAGAGAAGGGGATCCAGAGACTGAAATATCTCTGGCCCATGTCAAAATCTCGCGCCATGTATATCGTACGAGTTTCAAGCAGGACCCACAGACGCAGATCGAGATCCCATTCCTGTTTTATACGAGGGCGTGATCCAATCAGGGATCAAGAAAGAATGAACAACTAGAGAATTGTATTGTGGTGAAACTGATGTCTGACCCTTTTGACCTCCATCGATTCTCGAGAGTCTCGATCCTCGAAGACATCGCTTCCTCGGACGTGGGAAAAGGGATTGGTCGTGCGAGTGCATGGGTGGAGGCTCTGAATATAATTCTCAGCCATGAGAAAAGGTTTGACTGTAACGACCGGCACGAAGATCGGGCTGATGATCTTCTGGACCGAGGCACAGCAAGGGTCGCGAGCTTTTGAGGAGCATCACATTCTGCTCCTCGGGACGTAGCGCAACGAAGATGCTTGCAGATGCAGATGCGCTCGGGCTTTCTGATGAGACGTGAACGTACCGTAGCTCCTCTTCTGTCAGCGACGAGGCGATAGCGGAGGACTTTACGCTGCAATCTTGGACTCTGCCCATGGCCCCTCCCCCCAAGCTCTACAACCAGCAGCAGCAGCAGCAGGAGCAGCATCTAGAGTCTCTTCTTCAGCTTCCTAGCCCCAGAGCACGGTGTGGCAGTTCCGAATTGGAGATGTCCGACAGCTCAGGTCAACAGAAGAATTGCCACATGCCTGAGTGCAGTAAAAAAGTCATCTGCACAAATTTCCATCGACACCATGTTCCAGAACGGCAGCAGTAGCAGCAGCAGCAGCATCGCCGTGTCTCGCCAGAAGGTGACAAGGAGGAGAGAGCCGCTGCTTGCGGTGGGGGCCGATAAAGGCCGAAGAACGCAGCCCCAGTTACCAATCAGGCCTGAGAGTCTTCTTGCCACAACCCCCTCTGCCCTCGTCCCAGGTCCCAGATCAAACACAGCACCGGAGAAAGAGAAAGAGAGGACAAGTACACCTCTGACACGACTCCAGGTACAGTATCTCGGTCTCGTCTCAAGAAACCATTATGTTGTGAACTCGTCAGCTTCCACACAAGACTCATGAGTAGTGCTGCCAACGAGAGCACTTCCGCTGAAGGAGGATAGTGCGAAGCCGGTTGATTCCTCACAGGACTGTACCACAGTCATCCACTCGTTGTGCGGTCAGAGCACGTACAGGACAGACAGGACAGTGCAGCAGCAAGAAAGGGCTGCTGCTGTGAGCGATACACGGCTCAAGTTCCCCACAGTATCGTAACTGATCCTCCCTCCAGTAAGCTCTGCTTTGTTTGTTAAGTAAGTATTGGGCTGTTATCACCGGTTTTGAGGGTGGGTTCGAACTCTGCGCTCTGGATTCTGGCCTGCATCCCTTTGTGTGTTCTGTCCAAGCTCTGTCGAGATTCCTCACCGTCGACAGTGTGGATGACGGTATGCGAAATACTGCCGTGGATGACCCATGACGAAGAAGCTCAGAGCCTTCGCCCTTAGACTTTTATGCAGGTGTCCGCTTGAATGTCCATGGGTGGTCTCATCTGGAGGGAAAAGCAAACTGTTGATGCTCACACGCGGCGAGGGCATCGTCTGATGTTTTACTCTCGGTGAGAATGCTGTGGATGATGTTGGTTTTATGGTGTGCAGTGTCTATCCAGGTCAATCGAACTCTCTTCTGCTGCTGCGGTCCTGCTGAACTAAGTGGTAAACAATACCGTTTGTGGATTGAGTCATTTGCCTATTTTGAGTGCTCATCAATTCTTTGTTGTATGGCCTAGACCGCATCTTCGCCAGATGGAAGTACAGCGTCGGCCCCCCAGCCTTTTGTAGGGAATTCGAGTGCATGTCTCTCCTTTTTCTACCTTCGGATGTCAGATTCACCGCCTCATCATTACTCGAAGCCCCTAAGTCCCATTCTTCTCACAACCCTCCTTTTACCCGAAGCCATGTTTACAGTATATCTTACAGTCGTTGATTCCGCGTATAGGTATGGACTTTGCTTCCGTCCTTTCAGTTGTCAAAAGTCAAAGCAACTTTCCAGCTTCCAGCTGCGATTTGCGCAGTCTAAGAATTTACAAGAGGCTTCTTGCATAATAACTTTCCTATCATACGCCTTCAATATGCGGTCCCACTAGTGTCAACTTTAAAGTTACAGATTCATATTTTCGATAAGAGTTGACAAAAGCTTAAACGAGCCAAATTACATCTGTTGCTTTTGGTCCTTAGATGGCGTGAAGGAGAACATGTAGTTTGGGTGAGAATCTCTTTAATTTATTGAAAAGAATGTTCTCTGTTAACCTTTTCTCTCCTATTGACAAACTCCATCTCTTTCATCACAGACCGATTTTGTATCTTACATGAACCTGGACTTGGGTTCAAGCACCTGATATTGATTGGTCTATCGGGTACCAATAACGAGTGTAAAGCAACCAACTGTCTTGTGGCTTCATAGCTTCCACGTCCCATAGTCGACATGTCAGTGCATGACCTCCCTTAATGACTTCGGATCACTATTGCTAGCTCAAACAACAGTAATCAGTGGGGCGTAACAGAACAAGAAACAGCCCGGGTTAATAGATGAGTACCACTAGGGCTTTTGAAAACGACATGTTTAAGACTTGTTTTGCTTCGAAATAGATCATGTTCGTTATTCTTTCTGATGTCAAATAATATCGTCGTCTCCATGAATTAAAAGTCAATGCTCCGTTCAGTTATGGCTCCTTTTAGGATAGTCAAATCAGTCAGCATCTAGTCCCATGTCGTCACCAAGATATACTTAGCAACGGGTATTGGAAGATCCCATCGAGCCGTCCCATGTTGGCCTTTCCAATGTGTTTTATGGTCCAAGAGGTGGAGGTAGGAGTGCCGATTGTTGTAAGTCTTGCGCTCAAGCTCTATATCAACTGTCGGCACTTCGACCTTGCTCTCTATGAAAGACTCAAAATCGTTATAATTTTCTGACTGACTTTGCGTGAAGGTCCTCTTGGAAACTCCTTAGCTCACGGTCTTGCTTTGAGAAACTGCTCGCGAAAGGGTTCCTGCAATTAATGTCAATATGATTGTAAGTTGACTTGCCTCCTCTTCATGTGCAGCTTGCTGTTACTCGAGGATGTCAATTCCATTCCATTCCGAGACGATCGATTGAATCATTAGAGTGGGTTGACAACATGAACTCAATGAACTGTCTGCAGTGCTGTCCTAGGACGCTCAAAATGGCCCAAATCTATCGTTTCCCAGATCGAAGACTGCCGGCGAAAATGGAAGAGTGGTCGTTGTCGTTCACGCTGTTCTTTGTGAGTTCGTTGGTTGATTACGAAGGGCGACTAAAACCATGTAAAAACAGCATCAGGCAAAACACCACATCAGATGAGTGGTCACCTGGGACTCGAGATGGATGTGTACGTAGGCCAGGCATTGGCTGCGTATAGGAGCTTCATTATTCTGCGTATACGAAATTAGGATCTTCGAAGATTCAGGCAGGGGGCTTCCAAAAATAACTGACCATCTTCGAAGACTTATGTCTGTTGTCTAGTGAACTTGAAGGGCGTCTGAAGCACGAGGTGAGGGCGAGATATGGCACGGAGGGGAAAAAGGATGACTGGCTGAAACCTCAGACAGTAACATGAGCTGGGCTCAGCTGGCTACAGTCGAGCAAGCGTTCCCAAACACGGGTGACAAGACGAAGTCTAAATTTGGTCATCGGCAAGCATTCAAGGGGTTGCACGCACTCGTGCAGAGCTTTAACTTCGCCTCGTCGAATGATTCCGGCCACTTTTGCACACCGTCAGAAATTCCCGGTCAGTCATCTCGTTCACGCAGCCTTGGAATGAATGATGTGGTGGTTTACGGTCACTTGATTTTCATTTGTCTCCAGAATGTTGGCAATCCTGGGTCGCCAGTCATGTCACGGCAGCTCTTTGCTCGTCCCAATCGAGCGTTCCAACCTCACAAACGCGATTCTTTGTGCCCTTTTGCAGCTGAACTGCTTTTCCTACTTGCAGTCGTTTCGATTCCCTTAGCAGCAACTGAAAGATTCAAAACCCCCCTAAAGTAGAGCATCTCACACCCCCGGGCCTCATCCGCAGAACATGAAATATTCTCCTACCTCCCAACCAACATCAGCGTTAGTTCCCTCGATGAAAACTGCTCTTTATAGCCTTGCGCGTAGGTCTTCAACCTCTGCTCCTCTCTACGACTCCAAGCTCATAATTGAGTCAATCTTTGCTTCGTGAGAATTCCTGTCTTGGTTCAATAACTCGAACATTTATGCTCTTTGGGCGGACCTACCAGTCCAATGTGGTAAAAGGTAGGGTAACATTAGTGCCCTTGACAGTCATGCGTCAATGTAGTTCCAACTCTCGAACTCAATTGTTGGAAATAGAACCTTTGAGAAGCTCGAAGTTCTCATGTGCAAGGATTTGGAGATTCGAGATGGAGTCTAATGTAGACTGAGTTCTCCCTCTTCAGAGCACACGGGCCAAAATCGGAGCTGCCTGTCTTTCACAGTTTATTGTGATGAAGCACTTAACGGTCTGCATGCTCCATAATGTGCCTTCTATTGTATCCAGAAACTCAAATTAGTGAAGAAAGCGTGAAGATACTCACGCAGACACTAAGGGAACCAAAAGGAAACATGGTTCATGGAAGCAGCTTACTCCAGCTAAGCTACGTCCATGGCCACACAAGTATGTATCACCAAGAGCTACAAACAAGAGTCTTCTATAAAGTGATGGGCTACTTGAACTAACTAGCCATGGTTAAATTAGCTAGAGTTAATGAAGACCTAAGACCTAAGTTAGTATATAGTAAAAATGTGAATTCAAGAGATTTGGTGTTACTCTTAAACTAGGAGAATACCATGCAATCTTGCTGAATTTGCATAAGTCTGGATGGACTCATCTAGCTCCTGGTTCTACTTTGGCAGAAACCATATTGTTGTTTTCATATTCTTCTACGTGGACGTTTGTCCTCTCTCGTCTTTCGCTGCACACTTTGACTTTGTATTGTATTTCCATCAACTTACTCAAATAGTAGACATTTTTCTTGACATTTGTTATTTCTCTTCTATGATTGCTTATAGATACATCTACAGTTTTGGAAGTTTGTTTATTTCACATACATTGTTATTACCGTTAAAAGTTTTCATAGGTGGAAGTGAAGTCTTTGGTGACATCATGCAGTATCACATCTTTGTTGAATACTTTTGGAAAATTCGGTCAATATTTATAAATATATTTATTCACATATTTATATATTGACATATTTTAAGATGAATGATATTTTACTTGAACATTGGAGGAAAAATGATATTTAAGATGCTAAATCCTTGTACGTTACTTACATGTAAGTGCAACATTGCATCATATGCTTAGTATGTTCACAAGACTTGTTTCTATTTTAAAAGCAGATGGCCGCTACTCATAACACGGTGGTTGTTTAAGGAACGAGTAAAGTGAGTATTTATTAAGGATTCCCGTCCAATAAAACAGAGTTTATTTAAATTTGAATAAAGAGTATCGGAATAAATCTGAAATTATGATGTACATTGATTTTACGCGTAATAAAAATTCAGAAGCATAATTACTTATCTTCTTGTGTAGCGATCAAGATCTTCGAGCGTAGGGCTTGGTATAAAGTTCGCTCGTATATCTTCTAGCCTTCGAGTACCTAAAAGAGATATTCTAGTTCTAGCAATACATATAGTATCATCACAATGATATCACATGCATTTTTCACGGTATATGGAAAACAAAAATAATATAAAAGTTACAAGTATTCCGATATTTTAGATATCCTAGTTCTAGCAATACATATAGATAGTATCATCACAATGATAATACATGTATTTTTCACGTTACATGGAAAATAGAAATAATGACAATTGTTCCGATAACTTGTGCATCTGGACTCGGAATTGAATGTCAGGGCTCATACAAGTTGCCATACGAGAACTCGCTTCTTCGGTGACAGAAAATTCGAGCCCGATCGGATTCGAGCTCGGCAGAGGATCGAAGGCCAGACTGGTTCACGAATCACAAACCACGAGCGAAAGCGCGTGGCTTCAGGAGGCCACACGGGAACGTAAAAGCGACTGGGCTCGAGACCTTAATTCGCGAGGCATACTTACTTGCGCCATGGCAGCAGCAGCAAATGAAGAGAGCGTTTCAGGGGGGAGAGGGGAGGGCCCAATGCTCATGATTGATTGATGTGCACCAGAATGGCGAGCGCCAAGTACGGAGCTTTTGATTCGGGCTCGGATTATGATGGCGATGGAGGTCTCATGCTGGCGGGCCGGCGTTATTGTGGACGATTGCACGTCCCGAATTGGAGCTTCCACTACAAAGCTCGATTTCAGGCCCACCTAAGTTTGGGTGGGGGTAGGGCTGGGGCTGGGGTTGGGGGTGGGGCTGGGGGCTCGAGCTCTGGTAGGCCCTTGCTCGAGACCTTAAGCCCATCCATGAATTTCATGCTGTCGCCGTCAGTGGCGTTTAACTCGACGACAGGGTGAAACTAGCAAACAATGGCTAAAATAAAAAATTTGGGCCTCGCTAGCTCGCGCTCTCGTCCAGGTCAACTCTAATGTCGCCGCAACATGTCGTCTGAGCCCAGCCAGAGTCACGAGGGAGCCATGAGAGGCCTTGTGTGAGCTGCTGCTGTAAGGGGCTAAAAAAGGGATCGTGTCCTCTGGAGCACACCCGACACAACAATGAAGGGCGCCTGGAGGGAGGGGAGGGGAGGCCGAGGAAAGGCACAGCTTAACCCAGATAGCCCTCACTTAGAGCACGCACCCACTGCCCTCGAGTACATTCGATCTAAACATAGCCCCCGAGCTACCGATGCTGTCAGCCTCGTGTAGCTCATGTAAGGTGGCTGGATGAATGATGAATGTCGATGGCCACCTCTTGCTCCTCTTCACTTCTTCGGCCAGATCTGGACATGACAGGATCTCGCTCACTCGTTGCAGCAGATACCCCCAAAAGCTTGCTCCTAACTTCCTGGGCTGAGCTCGGACTGGCAGACTTTCTTCGCATGTGAGATCAAGTCTGGGACAGGATGCAGAGAGCGATGGAGTAAAGTGAACGCGAGCGTAGTTTGGGGTGGGGTGGCTCACTCTGCTGTCGAGACTCAGTACAATGCAGTGTAGGTCTCGAGCAGCTGGCGGTGGCGAAAACTCAGAGACTTTGTATGTATGCAGGACCGTATGTGTACTCTGTAGGTTGTTCACCTCACCTGGTGCATGTGCACAATATTCTAATCGGGCAGCAAGAGAACTCAGACGCTTCTCCTCGTGCTCGGGGAGCATATCAGGCTATTCTGCATGTGAGTGGAGCACTGACAGCCACTGGAAATCGGGACTCAGCTGCCTGTGCAGTAATGGCAGGTGGAAGCTGAATACACCATCACGTGTGAGCTTGAGCTTGTTCGGTTCACAGTATTAGGGGCCGATCTAATCTGAGAGCCTCAAACCTCCCGTCCCGCCGTAGTGCCATGTTTTCCTCTCTCTCTCTCTCTCAACATTTTGCCACTACTTTCTGTTTCGGCGGAGATTATTCTGCCGCTCTCTCGATTGGCCAGATTCATGATCCCCACGAATCGAGCCTATGGGTCGGGGACATGTCAGAATTTGGCAGAGGCTCAGGATTCTAGACATGTTCGTGGTTTCCAACATACAGTTTCAATGCACACGTTTCGATTCCAACGTGAGCAAGCAAAGGCAGCATGGCATGGCGTGGTGGATATTTCTGTTTCCATGCATACAAATTCCCAAGATAGATGTGCGTTCACGATGTGACAGGTTTCCAAAATGTGCTACGTTCTAGCCGCGATTCGCCCAAATTTACGGCTGGTGCATCCCATGCCGATGCCGATGCCGCAGACACAGAGAGAGGGATCGAATTCAGAAATTTCACAGATTCCGAATAACACAAATGTCATTGCAGCTCCTCGAGCTTATGTGCATCCAATTATAGACCACTCAGTCCCTGGAGAGAATGCTCTCTCCTCCACCTCATCACCCACTCAGAGCCTGAGGTGTTCTCCATCAGAGACTCAGATCCAAAACCGAGCAACGGGAAATTATCCGCGATCGTCTTCTGTCTTCTGACAGTGCGATCGATCCTGCACCGCAAGTGTGTGCAGTCGAGAGAGAGCCAAGAGAAACTTTCAAACGGGAATCTGCGTGCCCGAGCCGACAGAAGGCAATCATGCTCGCAAGGCGGAAAAAACAAGCTACCGATGGAATTGCCAGCCGCCCACGGGTCGAATTTCACCCGAAGCAAGAGGCAACCGCTGCACTTTTGGAGGTGCCTGACGGTGGACTCTTGGGGCCGAAGGCCGAAGCCAGATCGACGGACGGAGGGCATGAAATGTGGATCAAGCGCAGGCAGAGAGAGAGAGGGAGAGCGTTTGAAACATGAGAGGCAGATTTCGACATGCACGAGCGGGGAAACGGACAGGGGGTGAGCAGTAGGTAGGCGGGGGGAGAAACGAGTGTATGAAATGAGCTCGTAAAAGGGAGATCGGAGGTCGGAGATAATGGAACCTTATTCGAGAACCTGTCATCCAGATGCATGAGCCAGCAGCGGAGCCCGGAAAGCGCAAGCAATCCTGAGGGTCTGACGAAGTGAATCATCCGAATCCCAAGACGGCGCCGAGGCACACAGAGCGAACGAGCCCATGCTTGCGAGCCACTTTGCTCGGCTGGGGCCCATTCGGGCCACCGAACGGAGAGCTGCAACCAACCAATATCTCTACCCCTGTCTATCTTCGCGCAAGCGATTTGAGTGAACGGCGAATGCTCGGCGAGTCAAACCACCCGTGCCCGGTTACTGTTCTAGCCCCCGGAAAGCGAAAGGTCCAGGGCCATATGTTTGCCGCTACCCCTGCAGCGCTTGTCCGCTCGCCCCGGTCGGATTCTCAGACTGCTCACTGCACCCACCCGTCCAGCCCCAGCCCCAGTCCCAGTCCCAACCCCAGCCCCAGCCCCAGCCTCCCAGCTGCAGCAGCACATCGGATCGGTTTCGCTGGTCCCCAAAATATCACAGCTGCCAGGATGTTGTGATCGCATTAGCCCCTCCCTGGGGCTGTCGTTTGTATTATAAGCGGTCGCGCATTCAAAACACGCTGACGGCGCGAAACCGCAGAGTTCGAATCACCGCGGACAGGGGAGCAGGGGACTGGAAGCTGGGAGCGAAAGCCGGGGGATGCGAGCGTAGCTAGAGGCCAGGCGGCAGGATCCGGTGGATGCACAGCGGACGGGGCGTGAGGATAATGAACGTCTGTTGTATTCGCACTGCTCAGACAAGCGGACACCGGCGACCTTCTCTCAAGTGCTTCCTTCCGGTGCTGCGAGTGGTGGTCATGACCGGCCCGGGGGCTGGCCTGGGCTCGGCTGCTGGCATCGCATGGCTGGGCTTGGGGCTGGGGCTGGGACTGGGACTGGGACTGGGGGTGAGGCCCTGGCCCACAAGCGGTCCTGGGCCTGGGCTTGGGCTTGGGCTTGGGCCTGATCATCATCATGTCGGCCGGGGCTCGCACCACTCATTTCATGCAAGAGAAATGCATGCATTTCTCCATCACCTTTTGGAATTAATCATGAGCGTCCGTCCGTGACGACCAGAGCAGAGCAGAGCAAAGCAGAGCGCGGCCAAAATCCTTCGAGACACTCACTCACTGCGACACTCACTCACGCACAGCATGGCTTTTAATCAATGTCACTCACGTGGTTGCCACTCTCTCTCGCCTACGCGGTGCACCCCCCGGCCCGCGCAGTCGGACATCCATATGCCGCCGCTGCCGCTGCTCCTTCTCCTTCTCCCTCTCCCTCTCCTGCTGCACACACACTCGCTCATATAAAGACGAGCAGATCGGTATCCAGAGCACCCGCCGGGGCCGTCCCATCCCAGCGGACTCATGTTCTCGCACTACCAGCTTTTACGAGAGTTTTCGATAAGGATCACTCGCCGCGCCAGCCAACCAGCATCTCCAATGTCTCTGCTATCTGAACCGTCAGTGACATCCAAGGCTCCCATGCACTCCCCTCCCTTCCCCTCACCTCACATCACATCACAGCACATCAGCTGGCCTCGAGTCTCTTCTCTTGTGTTCTGTTCGCCTCTCGCGTGCCCGGGTCGGCATTCATGATGCAGCCTAGATCGGAACAGTGTTGACCAGAATCAGATGCTAGGCCGCTAGGCCGTGTAGGAGGAGGAGGAGGAGGAGGAGAGTCCTGGCCCGCTGCGACGGGCACGTAATTGCCAGCTTCGGGCGCCTGATGCATTCGTGAGCCCCCTAGAGGAGTCTGTGGGCGCGGACCTGCAGTCGAGGTTGTGGTTGTGGTCCCTTAAACAGTACAAAGCGCTGCGTCTCGGCGAGAAGGTTAGACAGCCAGCGAGTGAGTGAGCGGGCGGACTCTCTCTTCGGTTGCCATGGGCGATTTCCATGCGCGCTGCCAGACATGAGCCACAGCGAGCGATCGCTCGCCATGCCCGGAGCCTTGCCTTCCACATGAAGCGTCCTGACCCAGACCCAGCTCTTCTGCTCATCCTCCAGCGCCTGTCGCTGCCGCTGCTGCTGGTGTCGGTGGAGTGGACGACGATTCGCTCGTCGGCCATCGCCTGCGCATTGAGGTCGTGGAGCAGGGCCCGGTGGATGCCGGGAGTTCGATGGATGCAGCATTCGTGGCGAACCTCCGAAGTCGAGCAGCAATCGTCGGCCCCATGAGAGCTTCGGACTCGTCCCCGGCGCCGTCTCCCAGGTCGTCGCTCCGAGCGTGGCTCAATCTCAGCAGCCCGTCGCTATGTAAGGGCGTGGCGGTGTCGCCCTCGCTCTTCTCGCTGGCCTCGTCGCCCTCGTCCAGCCGCCAGTCCTCGTTCCGCCTGCCGGGCCTCTCGAGCTCCAACCGCCTCTCATTCCGTAGCACCACCAACGACTCGTCTTCGAGAACCCCCAAGCAGTCCCAGTCCCAGTCACAGCCCCAGCCCCCAGCCCCAACCCCCCCGCTGCCGCGGCGAAGCGCCAGCAGCTCGCACCGTGTCGCGCAGCTCAAGCACTCGATCGCCAGCTCGCGCTTACAGCACTCGCCGGTGGCAGCGAAGGCGGCTGGGACTGCGGCCGGGGGCTACGCGCTTGCGCTTGCCGAGCTTTCTGAGTCGCTGGGGATTCTTACGAAGGTGAATCAAGATGTGGACAATTTGCTGCGCCTGCTGGAGCACGAGGAGCTGGTGCAGTTCTTGAAGAATCCGGCCGTGGCCGACGACAAGAAGAAGAGCTTGCTGCGCACTTTGGCCGAGGATGGCAACTTCCAGGAGCACACCATCACCTTCCTCAATGTGCTGGTGGACAAGCGCCGCGTCGGGCAGCTGAAGGACATTCTGGGCGAGTTCGAGCGCATCTACGACGACCTGAACGACACCGAGCTCGCCACCGTGACCTCGGCCGCCGCGATCGACAGCGCGCAGCTCGATCTGATCGCGCGCAAGATCCAGGGCCTCACGGGCGTCAAGAACATCCGCATGAAGAATGTGGTCGACGCCTCGCTCATGGCCGGCTACGTCGTGCGCTTCGGCAAAAACGGGTCCCGCGTCCTCGATATGAGCGTCAAAGGCCAGCTCGATCGCCTCGCCTCGCAATTCCCCTCCCCCCGCCCCTCGCAGCAGCAGCAGCAGCAGCAGCAGCAGCCGCATCACCACCACCACCATCATCGCTCCCGCAGCCTCGCCCATTCTCTCTCCGGCTCGTGACCGAGCTCTCCCCCCATTCTCTCTCTCATCATCATCTCATCGGTCGCAGAAGGACGAGCGAGCGAGCGAGCCAGCACTTCCAGGTCGAGACATGCTCCACCTGCGGGATAAGCCCCACCATAGCTTGTACAAGTACATCATACAGTAGAGCAGCAGCAGCAGCAGCAGCTGGAGACTGAAATCGGTCGGCCGGTGGGTTCGGGTCGATAGGCATTCACATCTCCGGAACGATTCACGCGTGAATTCATTTTGTACGATAGAAATTGGAGAGAGAGCTCACTCAGTCAGGCACTGGATGGATGGTGTGCAGCAGCAGCAGCAGATGCAGAAGCAGAAGCAGCGGCAGGAGGAGTGAGTGAGGGTCAGAGGTCTCTAGTAGGCAGTGACATATACAGACAGAAAGACACACACACATATAGCGCCCTCCTCTGTTCACTTGGGGGATGGGATGTCAGGGAATGTTTTTGTACAACAGTTGTGGCCGCCATTAGTTTAGTTCATTCAGACGGACGTGCCATGGTTCGCGCATAGTTTCTCGCCCTCTCTCTCCGCCATTCTGATAGTCTCTTGTGTATCTCGTAGGCGTTCGAATTGTACATGACGAATCTTTTCTCATCCTTCAAGATCGAGGACTTGCAATAAACTACGATTTCGTGCACTCCCCGATCCACTTCTTCTCTCGCTTCATTCCATTCATTCGTGCTTCATTCATTCTCAATTGCCAATTGCCGTGTGATCCATCGAATCCCGTCAATTTCCACTTCCTCCGTTATCATGAAAGTACTTTCTGTGAGGACCATCATCATCAGACCCCCAGTCTTATATTTTCGATGCCTGTTCAACCTTTCTATTCTCAATTTATGAAATTTCATCACTGACTGCGTCGTCACTGGTTGTGGTCGCGAGCGGTGCCTCCTGCGATCGATCGAGGCATTGGCACCGGCACATGCGCGAGGAATGTCCGAAATCGAATTCCCATCGATCACTCTCGTGTCGCTGTCTGACGACGTCGAGGACTCTCTAGAATCCGGGCGGACGAGGAGCACGAGCACGAGCAGCGAGGGAGTTCGGACATTATCTCTTGACGAATGTTCGTCGGATCCGCAGGTGTAGCCGGATTAGACCTGGAGCTGGAGCTGAATTGGCCGACGACCGATTTCATGGAGAATTCTTACAGCACTGTGCTCGTCGGGGATCAGATCGTGGGGAGGGAACATTCCGCTGCGGAAATTAATGTCACGCAGGAGGCGGAGGCTGGCGATGGGTGCACAGCATGCACTCCGTACTTTCGGGCACGATAAATGCCGCAGCGATTATCCAATTATCCAATTATGTGCATCGAGGGCCTGGAGTCCATCATTGAGTCTGCAAAGGACCGAGCGCAAAGGGAGAGGAGAGAGAGGCACTGGCAGTGGGATGGCAGGCAGGCAGGGCAGCAGTAGATGCTGTGAAGGCTGTGCACATTATGAGAGCATCTGCAGGATGTCATGAGCCCATTGATCATTGATCTCCACCCCTTTCGACCACCACCGCTCTGCGTGTAGCCTTTAATCCACCAGACTTTGCCCGAACATGTCAGACCCCGGACGAATCTCGCCATCGCCGACCAATCGTAGCGAGCGAGCGAGCGAGCGAGCAAGGGGTCGAGAACTGCGGCCTCGCATCATTCGCAAGTTTGGTCGATCGAGTGAGCGAGCCAAGCAAGTGCGCGAACGAAGGCCTGTGCACGTGAAAAGTGATGCGAGTCGAGGGCCGATGCTTCAATTATTAGCAAGCGCACACTCACGTACTCATGGACGGCACCTACGGGCTCGAAAGTGAATTCTAGCCCACCTTTCTTCGACTGGTGTCGGCCTCGGACTCGAGGCTAAAGTGCTCGAGGACCCCGGCCCCGATCTTCAGATCTTCATATCTTCATGTCCTCTTCAGACCACATGTCCTCCCGTAGCCGTTCTGATGCCGGAACAAATTCTCGCCTTCATCATGATTCGGAGCCGCATTGTGACCTCATCAGGTCAATGAAACCACAAGGGCTGCCGACCTTCGCGAGCACAGGACTTCAACCTCTGCAGAGTTGCAAAGTGTACCTTCAATCTCCTTTCAAAATCACTTTCGATGGTAAAGATGTTGGAGGTAATGATGTTGCTCGGCTCAACTGTTCCGGCATTTTGGATGAGGCTTGGATGAGATTCCCCTGGTTTTGTGCAAAAGGCGTCGATCGACTTTTCGTCGGCCTTTCTTTTTGGTGTGGCAGGCTTGGGATGAATGAATGCAGTATCATTTTAGAGTGGAAAGCATGAGATCTGAAGAGGCGAAGTGAATTACAACTGCTTGCTTGCTCGTGGCTTAGTTGGAAGTGTACTGTGCATCCCAGAGCCCACCGTCATGAACATTCTTCTTTCCTTGTTCTTACAAATTGAATGACAACGGACAAATTGTACTCGAGCATAAATACAAAAAGAGACTATAGTACATTACAAAGATCGTGAAGATGGTTTACGAGAACCGTTTTCATCAAAACTGTCACCTGCAGAAATGCAACTATGTAAAATGCCTTGTGTAAGCAGTTCCATTGTACGCAATCAAGAGAACCAATTTGCCAATCTATGAAAAATATCACCATCCTTTTATTCTCCCACTGACTATTATAATGTAATCATAACGGGAGAAGGAACTCCACGTCCACGTCAAGATCATCTCGCAATGACCTTGACGTGGGGCTCAAACTTTTCCACATGATCCACGGCAAGAAGCTCCGAGTCAAAACCTGTAGTACCCGTGATTTACAGCTCGAGTGTAACTTCTGCTGGACAACCTGGCAATTTCGAGTGTGAACTCTTTCGTTAGTCAGATTGTGTGCCCACTGTGACCTTCCTCCGTTGCACTGAAAGTGGCGCTTCCCTTCCAGCTTCCACGGCCAACTTTGCATCCTCTCAAGAAAATGTTCGATGACCTGTCTCCTTTCTCACGGGTACCTCCGAGAGCTGGTAGTGCTTCCAAAAGGTGGCCCTTCGTCGACTCCGAGGAGAAGAAGAGCACAACAATAGGGGACTTTCCGAACAGAAGACCTCAATGGGAGGCATCTCGACTTACACCTTTCCGACTGAACATATAATGACATCCCACAACCTCCGTTTTCCTTTCAAGTCTGAGTGGAATAATTCCGCAGTTTCTTGTGAATCTTCGTACCTCTGACCATATCGCCTTCTCATGAGAAGCCGGGATCAGATGACTAAGAAGACTCTTCCAGAATTCGTGTTGGCATCGAAAGGTATTCCATTACTCTCAGAATGTGGATCAACTCACAGAAGGACGGAACAGCGCATGGATTACAGTACTTGATAATACTCGAGAGCGTAATTGAATGCGACTGCTATACCCGCGATCAGAATGACACCAGAGACTTTTATCAGCTTCTTTTGAGTCGCACTCTTTCCCTCCATGAATCTGGATATAGATTCCTTCAATTTCCCTCCCGAAGCTGCAAATGTCACGCCAACATAGATATAGACATAACCAAGTCGTTCAGCCTAGATTGACTGCTTTGTTCATCAGAACCCTATATACAACAAGTTGCTTGATCACAGAAGCAAAAAAAACATGGCAGGTTGTAAGGACACATATGGATACGTAAGCTCCACGTGCATATCACTTCAGGCGAGGGATGCTGACCTCTTTTTGCAAGCCTTTCTTCTTCACCAATGCGCCGACGCAGTGTATTAAGTAGAGAGCCGAAGTAGAGAGCTAAGACCGTGCAAGTGAACGTGATTACATTGTACGGCATGCTGAAATCCGGAGTTGCCAATGGAACCAACAAATTATCCGTGTAAACATGCACGGATCCAGCCTCCTGTAGAGAAAAATCACGACAGAAGTCAGTAAGATAGAGTAATACCACTGAATCCCTTTCCCACCTCGGTTTTATAATATCACTGGCTCGTGGTTAGCACGGAAAAAGTTCAAAGTAAAAGAAACAAATTCAGTGCAGGTAGTGAGATGTTCACCGATGACAGACGTAACAGAAATTCACGTTAGGCATGTGCTGTAAAAGAGAGGGGAGAGACAGAGAAGCATAAAGAACAGAATCCTACATTTAACTTTTGGAGCAGTGGGTACTCTTGCTCGAGAGAAGACGGTAGGTCTACGTATCTCCTTCTGGTCTGTGACGTTGGAAAGTTCAGGTAAGCAGACGGAAGATCGAATCCACGGTTTGCATCTGGAGGATGCTCATCTATGTGAAGAAATCCCTGCGCATGTTGCTTCGGATGTCAGTGTTTCCTTAGATTTTTTAAATTGACCTAAAAATGAGGCTTTCGTTTAAGTAGAAACGCTAGTCTCACCTTGTCGAAGTCCATGGTCAAGGACATTATGCTCACATTTCGTGGAAGCTTCAGCTTTACTTCTAAAACTGCGGGGGAGAGACGGTCTTCAGCAGGAGTGACTAGCATTTGCGTTATGATGTTTTGGAGAGGAACTTGATTTCCGTCCACACGAGCTGTCAGGGTATGTAGATACAAGCGAACATACCATGCAACCACTTGAAAGATAGTCACTTCGACATCATTGGCGGCAACAACTTCGTCTTGCACCGGCAGGTCAAAGTTTCTCTTCAGCTCAATTGCGAGTGACCCCTTTTCATTGCCACTTCCGATGAGAAACCTAGATACACGGAAGGGCCCACGAAGGCTTGACCAGTACACTCGCTCTTTCCAAAGCATCGCAAGATTCAAAGGACGTGCACTGCTATGATTCTGAAGATCATAGTCCAGCATCAATGAAGAAGCTTGCGAAATATCCCCAGAACCCTGGGACTCTACAAAGACCCTGTCTGGATATGGACTCATGTGGAACGCAGGATTGTCGGCAACATCCACTTGTCGACCTTTGTCGTTCCGCCTCCCCTGCTGTGATTTTTCATCTGACAATTCAGCTGGTTCGGACTTGCTGGCAGCCAGACGTTCCACACTCAAAACAAGCGGCCGTTCTAGCTCCAATAGCACATGGCTGGACTTTGCCAGAGGGCACCTTCCTTCCAACTTCCGCGCAAATAATGATGTGAGAGACCAGTTAGGAAGTTCCTTAGACCCTCTTTCCCTGAGTTGTGCCGGCTGCAAGACTAAAGTAAGTGTTTGCTCTAGAATGACAGCTCCACCGGGTTGAGATCTTCCAACGTGCACTCTCAGAGAATGATAATACCCCTTGTACACACTCGGTCTGTCTAAAAGCGTGGCAATACCTGCCTTGTCCCTGCAAGGTAACAGCTTCAGCCAAGGTGTCAAATTCTCTGTACACACTGCTTCTCTTGGAAGAGCACCATACCTTACGACCCCACTCTTTCTCACGTTAGCCGTGTGCCCTTCTTTGCTTGCACCCTTATTTATTCTAGATCCAAACACCAGACTCGGTGCAGCAACCACGGCAGGCGATTCCAGAAAATTTATTGAGGCACAGAAAAGGCCAGACAGGGCGTGCGTTAAATTTCTCCAAGTAGGATCAACCTGGTCGGATGGCACATCAAATTCTGCCCACAGCTCTACACCCGAGGGTTTCGCATTCGAGCTTCCAACAGGGTCCAAAGCTCCCCAGCGTTCGTAGTTCCACCTGCCTTGCGTGAATGAAAGCTCCAGCTCAGATATGTGGAACTTTCGCACCTGAAACAGTCAATCTCCTAGTTCAAGCCACAATTCAGAAGAAACTTGAATATTTCGTGACAATCATCTGGATCAACAACAGCTGATGCAACTTTAATCTATGTGGCACAAAGCAATGACTTGTATCGACATAATTATTTTTAAGGTATTTCTAATGTATGGTTCTCCGCAGAAGTATAGTTGGAGAAGATCGGTGTAAAACAGACTGTTCCTAAAATGTTGGGTATGGCTTTTGACGAAAGATATGCATTATATACCTACAAGTATTTACTTATTAGGTACTAGTCTTGTTTTCTTCCGTAACCCTTCGTCAGTTCCATTTTTTCATCTTAGCTGAGAATGAGGTTGAGTCCATTCCTAGAGGCAAGTCGCAAGTTGCATCTATACGTCAGGCTTTCACTTGTTCCAAAATATCCCAATTGACGATTCCACTTACAAGACGAATTCATCAGCAATGCACAATATTATCCCCGGCGTTCGAATCAATGAAAGGAGCATGAGAGGATTCTAAAGACTCACCAGTTGAGAAATGGCCTTCGGAAAGACATGATTGTGAGCAGCTGAGCCGAGAGTGTGCAAGTAGTTCTTGAAGTAAAAGTGGTTTAAGACTTTGCCATCAGAAAGCGGACGAATCAACAGGTCTTCGGAGAATGCCTCTTCCCTTCCCTTGTCCGCCACGGAATGACATCCGCTGATCAGAAAGGGAACGATACACAAAAACCAACCCCACACGAACGCTCGGGATGCTCCAACCTGTCTGCTCCTCAGACCCGATGTAAGAAAACTGTTGTTGGCCATCGTGCGGTCGTTGCAGCACCGCTGTTTCTTCGTCAGAGGTCAGAGGTCAAAGTACGGGAAAACTCCGTGCATCTGTAAGAATCATCTCAACAGGTTTACTCGTATGTTCTCGAAACCTTTTGAACATCTTGAAGAGAGAACTGATCATGAAATCACTTGCTTTCACAATACCTTCCGGTCCGAATAATCGCACGAGAAACAGATTACAAAAAAAGTACAAAATGGGCGTCAAGCTTATCGGATCGATTGGGCAGGCAATCGGGACTCTTCAATCGGTCATCTCGAAGAAACCAACTGACCTGCCCGATGGCCGAACCAGTTGGGACAATGGCCTTCAAGTGATTCCCAAGAAGTACATCATCTGCACGTGCGACGGAATCATGAAACACACACATCAGAGATGAACTCAAAAGTCTACCAACTTTGAAGCTGACCTGCACAAGAGTGGAAGCCCAAGCTGAACGCCCACACAATGTGCCTACAAAACTCAGCACTGCTGCAGAATCAACCTAGATCCTGCGAAACATGAACTGGCTTTAAAAAGGTCCAAAAACGAGCATTTTGATCTCTGGAAAAAAAATTCTCAAGACGAAGACGAAGAGCGCGTCTGAGAGTGCGATGAGAAATCACCTGAGGCCTTGCTGCAAATCCGGATGACCGCGCCATCGGATCGTCGACATCGAACCTGCGAAATCTGCTTCGATTGGGGCAGTAAGAACTCCGGCACAGATGACACGTAAACCCCAAACCCCGAACCTCAGAACCCAGCCTCGCGAATCGCACCTCCACAGCCTCTGGCGCCAGCGACGAGACCTTCGACCTTCTTCGCTCCCGCCTCAGAATTGCGCTTCATCGAGCGCACGAGCATGAATGCCATCGACTGCCAGTCCCCAGCCTCGCGACGAATCTCATCTCCGCGCCGTCGCGATGAACATCCCGCGCTGCGCGACGAATTGTCGATCCGCGCGCCGTTTGTCTTGCTGCTGCTGTTGCCCGCCATGGGGCCCTTAGCTGTCGACGGCGTTGGCCACTCGACTCAGACTACGTAGAACTGTGAACTCAGTTGGCTCGGTCGACACCGATGAGTGCGGCGCTTGGTATGGTCAGCGTCTATTGTATATGACTATTTTGTAATTTATCCAGAGTCTGATTTTCTTACATTGACATCACATTGGGATACAGTTATTTATTTATATATTATATCATGATTGAAATTTATTTATTTATCTACTTCTGTATGTTGATCCTGTTTAGATCAACATTTCGTTTTTTAACATTTACAGAAATCCAAAATATTGAAAGATGATTTGTCCATACATGTTAATTGAAATATTTCATATTAGATATTTAAAATTTAAAATTATTATATTTTCACGGAATTTGTATGATCTTTGTGTATCTGTAATGGAGAAAATAAAATCAATTGAGGTGGATTGTTGCACTTATATTTATCTAATTTTTTAATATATATTTTTAAAATTATTTTTATCAAAATATGTCTATATAATCATAGAAATAATTTATATTGAATTAATTTCGATTACAAGCTATAACCGCTCACTCGGTGAATAATTTGTTGATACGTACTTATAAAATACATGTTTTTCAACACTACATAAGATACAATGGACTGATACAGAGAATCGATTAAGAAATATGCATCTACTTTCAATACGACTAAATAGGTGAAATTCAAATATAAAATCCATTGTAACAAACTTGGTAGGAAGATAAGTGCCATGAAAGTATTAAGAAATGTAAAACTTCATAACTAGAAGCCATATAAATGTTTAATGTTGTATTTTTCTTACCCATTGCCTAGTGTATAAAAAACTAGTTTAAGCTAACTATGGAATAACACTAACTTTCAAATATGGACCAATATATGGATGTAGAATTTAGACACAAGGTTGACTGTGAGTAACCATGCAATATTCCTCCAACTAACATTCAGTAGATTTACACTAATTCCTACAGCTTATGAAGGTATCGTAAAAACATTCGTTTAGCAATACTGCACGATTGCAGCACTCGACGCAAGGAAATATTAAATAATAACACGAGTATGTGATGGGAATATCAACTTCTTATAATATTGATACAATAATATCTCAATACTTCATGTCAACAAATTCAGCCCATTTTTATACATGAATATACAGTTCTTGCCATATACTTGCATATTACATGTATAGACACGTGTCCTATATACTAACGGTAAGGTGGTAGGTCCATCATGAAGTGCACAAGCTAATGGTGAAGCCCCAGCTTGTGAAGTATTATGGTCGGACTGGACTTATAAGCTGACTTGAGGCCATTGTGCGGAGCCAAGCAAATAATACTCTTCTATCCTTCTACTAATAAGGTCTTGTCATGGACATTCTAACATTGCAAATTCAGTGTGGCAGCCAACGGCGGATTTTACCAGACAGAAAGGTTTAGGACGGGTTTAGCTGCACAAACTTATACATAGCCCCTATATAGAGCCTTCATAGACCCAGGCAGGTGTCATCCTGCAGTGACCCGTGACGGAAGTTCTTCTTTTCGCTGCGACTCTCCTCTTTTGGACCAAAGATGGAAGATTGTGCGGGCAGGCTAACCGGGCAGGTTTTTCATTCGCACTCAATTTTCCGGTGGAGCATCAAAGTGATTGAATTAGATCGCTCTGCTTTCCGGCAGACAGATCTAACGATGGACTATAAGAACACTTTGCGGGGAGGGTCGGCGGACCCGACAACCATGTAGATGGGATGCCCTCAACCGGAATGAATGACTCATCTGAAAATGGCAGGAAAGGGCAAACTATCTTCCTCGGTATACTGGTATAGAACAAATTTATGCACTGAAGAGGACGATATTTGATTCGACTCCAGCAACATCAAGACCGGCTGATGGTCAAACCAAAGCAACTCGCATGTACAAGAGACGATTCTTGAAGTGTTGTACTTAAAGCTACAAAAGAAAAAACGCACTTGAGATTCTTGGTTAAGTCCGTAACACTCATGATCAGTAAGTCATGAATTGAGGGTATCTTCTGTAAGAAGATTTTCATTACCAAGAAGAACTTGCAAAGCCCATAATTTATGAGCATACGAGGAGTTTGTAGAACTGGTTATTTGAGAGGTCAAAAGTTTGGACCTCAGATGGATCAGATCATTCCGAGTGAAATTTACAGCAGAAAAAATATGAGATTCATGCCCTACACGTATTACTGGGCTAGTCACACTCTGTCTAGAAAACTGTTAATAAGGAGGCGTGCAGAATTTAATATCTTGACGGATCCTCTCTATCTGGTTACATTCATTTCAATTTCAGTATGATCTACAGCAGAGTATTAATTATGTCACAGGTAAAGTCCAACATTACGGTACATGGAGACCTGACAACAGCGTTCCAAATCTGATTAAAATTTTTCTTCTTTGATAATCTTCGAGGGCTCTTGCTCAATTTCTGAACGAAAGGGAGATATGTCGATGAACCAGACTCTTAATAAAAGGATGCCTGAGACGTGCTTGAGCTTAGTCTATTCTTATGTATGGATATAAGAGAGAGTGACAATCTTTTAAGTTCCTGACACTTTTTCTGATCTATGGTAACATTTATACAAACTGTACCCGTTGATATGAACCTGCTATGACCTAAAGACCATAGACTCCTCGCCCTGGCTGAGCAAGTGCTACTTCACGTCTCTCAAGAGTATAGATCATCTATTAAATTCCACAGTACCGAGTGTTGAATCTAAACTATTGATTCCAATTTCGGGTATATGAGCGTTTCAAGCGTACACAGAATCGGATGTAACAAGTTCAGATATTTACCTGGACCTCATATGGGCAACAGATCTTGCTCCTTTAAATGAATGGAGGGTAAATACATTTCCTTCACACAACGAATGAGAGAAGAGCACCTACAAGTGATATGAAAATGTGACATATTAAGGAGTTTTACCAAGCTATGCATGTTTCCTTTGTCAGTTGTCAGGTTCAGTGATCAAGTTACATTGCGATACAAAGCAGAATCGCAATCGAAGTTTGATCCAAATCTATGAAAAAATTCAAACATCAATTAAAATTGGTCGGAACATACAGTAAGTTTCTTCATCCGACAGCAATTAATACAAAATGAGCTATATGTTTCACAATTACATCTCACATCTCTGCGTTTATAAACACACAGAAATAGGCGGGGGATATTGTTTGAACAAGAAATGACTTTTTATGGAGAAGGTAGTCCCGATTCCTTTTCTTTGTATCTCTTATCATTGAACTAGATTTGTTGAGTATGTTTCTCTCCCTTTCATGTGACCCTATATTTTTGCTTTCGACCTGTGTGCCACCATGTAGATTGACTATCTCCTAACTTACAGCTTCCATGAACCAAACTGGTACAAAAAACCACGCTAACATCTCACAATACAAAAAGATTCAAAATTAGCCTCCAAGGCTTCAAATTCATAATTCAAATAAGTCTGAGACGGTAGAAAAATCCGAGTGTACAGAAAAGTTAATGTGTAGTGCACGATGTAGCTCTATTCCAATTTTGTTTTGATACAAAAACTCTAAAGCTGCGAACTGTCAACTGAAAGCACAGTCAAACTTCCAGAAAGTGATGAGTGCGTCCTAAAGCCACTACATACATGATCTGCAAAACTTTTGCTACAGCTCATCATCCTCAGTCGACTGAGGATGACTTTGTGGAATATAAACAGCATAAATTGGAGATGTTCTCTCTCATTTGCAATTGCAAGGGTTGCATGAGGACTTGTCATCGCACTTGCATCCTTCGTTGGCACCATAAAAGCTGTATCAGAAAAAGCAAAATTATAATCAGATACTGATCTACCGTCCCAGAATCCAAGAACGGTGATTTTATAAATATGTTAAGGATAACCATACGTTAAGGATCCAGTTCAGACTGACATCAGCAGATTTCGAGTTCCAGAATGAAGCAACTACACTACCATGGTTACTGAAGCAAAAGCATAGCGATCTAAAACACCGATTCAAAATACATATAATTATCCGCCTCCTCTTCGAAAGTAGGACAAGTACACCAACTACAAGGAAGAAATGAGGAGAAAAAACCCCATACCACTTCTTTTGAGCCACATTGGAGCCTATCTAGGTAGAGTGGGAAAAAAAACAAGTATGAAAATTGCCATTTAAGACTTTTGTAAGTGAAACTAACCAGTATCGAAGTCCACGTACGACTTTCAACTCATCGCCATATGTTAGCACGTCGTGTCCTCTCACCAGGTGGCTTTCTCTTGACGCTTACATCCATGTTACCATCTGAAGAACGAGTTCTCCTATCTGTAATAACAGCAACTCAATCGCAGATATTATCATTTTGATACAACATATTTCAGTTAAAATTAAAGCTCAAAGAAAATGCTTGGGAACGATCTTACTTGCACGTTTCCCGCCGCGATCACGTTCTGGTCCTTTGCTAAGATCCTTAACAAGAGACATCGCTGTTGCAAACAGTTCAACTTTATTCCACCACTTGTTGGTAGCAACAGCCCATTTTACCGACCCTTTGTTTTCAAGTGTGTTGACACGGATCTTATATGAGGCGTCTGCCATATAAAGTTCGTCTGCCGTATACTTCGCTCCCCACTCCAAGAGAAGATTTCGTTTTTTTGCATCCATCCTCTTGACTTCAACCTTCGCTCCCCACTTTTCAACTTCTTGTGATATATGTACAGACATAAAAAATGGATGTATGAGCTCTACGGAACCATACATCTCTGATTCATCAAGAGCTGACTTTGAAATCTCACCCTGAAAAAAATAACAAGCACAATACTCTTAGATCATATCCAAACTGCAATATCTGTAATTGTAACATAAACATTACAAATTGGAAAATCTTTACGTCAGGAGTAAGAATGTCTGACCTTTGTCCGAGCCGTCTCTTCATCTTGG